GCTTTAAATAAGGCCTGGAAACCCAGTCCTCGTTCAAGATTTTGGTATTATCCTCCGAGAGCTCAACAACTTCATTTCCAAAAGGAGTTTCGCATAGGGCGACACTCGGAGGAGACCCTCTAAGCCAGGAGAGGGGAAGCTTGAACAGCGGCTGCAAAACGGTTTGTCCTGATTCTTATACAACTGTGTGGAAGCAACGGTTAAAGCCACTGGGCTATCAGCCGACAGCTCGTCGAGGATTGGAACATGTCCCAAAAGGGTGTGATTGACGCCTGATTTTGTGATTAGAGAAATTGGTGCAAGTTCAAAACACTCTGTGAATAATAACGTCTTCTTTTTCTCATGGTCTGTTGCATCCAACTGCCCCCGCAAGCAGTAAAAACCATTTCCTCGAAAGTTCTCTTGGAAGAGAGTGGGGTTGCTGGTCCCGTTTCTTGGGAGCCTGCTGATTCATCACCTTCATCATCAGCCTTACCCTGGCACCTTCTCAACTTAATGTGGCTTTTCATCCCACGTGTAGTCCTAATTTTCCTCTGGCAAAGAGGACAAGTAAAATGACCATCTACGCGATGAATTCGGTGAGGAAGATCAAAACCTTGTGTATTAGGGAGAGACACACAACATTCCTCACTGTGATAATCATCACGGTGATCTTTCAGATGTTTTTTCGAGCTGAATTTCCCTTCGCAGTCCATGCACTGATGCGCCTGGTTTTCCTCATGAGAATCCATTGAGCTACGAGGCAAATAAAAAGAAAAATTAGGACGATGTCAAGGAGCTTTGGGGCAAAACATAGGGCGGGTTCATGATAACACCAAGCGGGTCCATGACAAAAAAAAAAGAAAGGCGGGTTCGAGACAAAAAAAAAGGAGAAAGGCGGGTTCGAGCACAAGAAAGGCGGGTTCGAGACAAAAAAAAAAGAAGAAAGGCGGGTTCGAGCACAGGAAAGGCGGGTTCGAGACAAAAAAAAAGAAGAAAGGCGGGTTCGAGCACAAGAAAGGCGGGTTCGAGACAAAAAAAAAGAAGAAAGGCGGGTTCGAGCACAAGAAAGGCGGGTTCGAGACAAAAAAAAAGAAGAAAGGCGGGTTCGAGCACAGGAAAGGCGGGTTCGAGCACAGGAAAGGCGGGTTCGAGACAAAAAAAAGAAGAAAGGCGGGTTCGAGCACAAGAAAGGCGGGTTCGAGCACAAGAAAGGCGGGTTCGAGACAAAAAAAAAGAAGAAAGGCGGGTTCGAGCACAAGAAAGGCGGGTTCGAGTCAAAAAAAAAGAAGAAAGGCGGGTTCGAGCCCAAAAAATGACATGGGCATGAGCATGAGCATTAGCATGATGCTGGAGATGATGGGCATGCCAGAATGATGGACGGAATGGCAGAATGATGGACAGAGTGATGGACAGAATGAATAAAATGATGGACAGTGATGGACAGAATGATGGACAGAATGAATCAATGATGGACAGAATGGACAAACAAAAAAATATTCGGTTAAGGGGTGGAAAAAAGACAATGTTTAAAAAAAAAAAGGACAAACAAATTTTTTGTGCTGGAAAGAGAGAGAAGTCAGCGAAAACGTGGGATGGAATAAAAAGGCAAGGCAGGCAATAAAATGTCGTGTGAACTTCTTTTATTTTTTTTAATCAACAACAACTACTCTCTTCGTGAATAAGAGCCCTTCAATGGAAACACCTGTTGCAAAGAGAAGGAAAAAAAAAAACAAATAAATGGAAAAGAGAGAAGGAAGTACCTGTTGCAGAGAAGGAAACACTTGTGGTAGTAAGAGGAAAAGAAGAAAGAAGGTGTCAGCTTTTGCAAAGAGAGAAAAAAAGAGTGAAGAGGATGGAGAATGTTAGATGCAGAGGGAGAAAAAGAGAGAAGAGGGTGCAGAAAGAGAGAAAAGAGAGAGAAGGGGAACAATGACAAAAAGAAAAGAAAGAAAAGGCCAAAAGCAAATCGAGAGAAAAATAAAATGAATGAATGTGAAATGGCCCCTGAAAATGGGTCTGTTCAGGATCATGTGCTTTTTGTATTCTAGCCCGCTATTTTTGTATTTATTTATTATTTTTTTATTTTTTTATTTTTTTATTTTTTATTTTTTATTTTTTTATTTTTTTAAATGCTCTGTAGAAATTGCTGCACCTGTGGAGATGGGTAAAATCCCCGCAACGAAGTAGGCACCTTTGCAAAAGTCAGATCCTGAACTGAACGAACACGACTTAGAGCAACATACGCCTGTCCCGAACAGAATAAGCCTCCGAGATCGACATGGGTTGCTCCCTGAGACTTTAACCACTTGGAGGCAACACTGAATTCTCACAGCAAATAAAATTTGAGGCGACTCCGCCGGCTCAGTGACGAATGACAAGCAAAAGAGTGATGGAGCACAGTCATCAAAATGTTCTTCACTAGAAAAAAAAAAAAAAAAACAGAAAGTAGCTCTACTAAAATAAAAAAAAGATCGTCGACCGTGGACTTTAAACGTCCAAAGCTCCTCCAATAGTCGCACCTCAGACCCGGGACCTGGATCATTCGAAAGAGAATACTCAGGGCTATCGATGGACCAAATTTTGAAAAATCCGACACGACACCCCCCTTTGATGTCCCTAAGTACAAGCTCTTCCTAAGTGCATACCATGGTGGCTAGAACCAACTTCCAGCTGCATCCATGCCTAACATTAGATCCCAAAACTCAATGAAAAAAAAAAAAAAAAAAAAAAAAAGAACAGACCCACCCGCTCTCTTGTTCCACTTTTCATTTTTTTTTTTTTTTTTTTTTTTTTTTTACTTCACACCAATGTCTCTTTTTCATTTTTGCTCCCCCACTCACTCTTTTTCTCTCTCTTTTTTTTTTTTTCACTTCACACCACTTCACAACTTACTCTCTTTTTGTCTCTGTCTCTTTTTCATTTTTGCTCCCCCACTCTCTCTCTTTTTTTTTTCTTATTTTATTTTCTTTTTTTTCGATCTCTCATTCTGTGCCCTCAAACTCGCTCTCCCTTTTTATTCTCTCTTTCATTGAGTTCCCCCCCTACTCGCTCACATTTTCTTACTCCATCTCCTTTCGTTCCCACAGTCGAAGACTATGCACTTAGAGGAGGCTACTCCACTGTGATTTTTTTTTTAAACGTCCATAACTCCTCAAATACTGGGACCAGAGACCTGGGACCAAGCTCATTCGAAAGAGGATACTCTGGGCCACATTGCAGTTTAGTTCACAATCACGTGCTACGATGAAAAAATATTTTCTTACTCTCGACCGGGAACTTTAAACGTCCATAGCTCCTTCAATTCTGGCATCTGTGGCCTGGGGCCTAGCTCGTTCGAAAGAGGATGCTCAGGGCTACCGATCCACAAAATTTCACAAAATCGACACAACCCCCCCCCCTTCGATGTCCCTAAGCTCAAGCCTTATCCAAGGGTCAAATTTGGTGGCAAGAACCAGCCGCCACCAATACCCTGTACTGCGTACTGAGACTTAGGTGTGCACCTCCTTGACTTCAGCGTACGTAGAAAACATCTCTAAACACAATTCGTGCCTTAGTGGATTACCGTGTCTAAAAATAAGTTATCCTTTGTTAATGTGAATAAAAAAAAAATATAAGAATATAGGAATAAAAAGTAAAAATTACAGCACAGAGTATTCCCATGTGGTCCCCCACCATAGTACTGACTCTGCCATCGATTTCTTAACTGCGCAGATCGGACGGGATGCGGTGATTTTAATCGTGTATGGCCGTAATTCGGAAATATAGAATTCTGTTGCTGCTTTTGTCTCTACTTTTTGACAGTTAAGCTCGTCTCTAGTTCATTCATGCTCATTTCTAGGACATTCATTCATACTCGTCGCTTGATCCTTCTCATTCTTCACTCATGTTCATTTTTAGGTCCTTCATTCTGACCTCATGTTCCTTTCTAGGTCCTTCATTCTTCATTTCTAGGTCCTTCATTCTGCACTCCTGGTCATTTCCAAGGCATTCACTTCTAGGACAATTTAATTCAACATGTCAACATGCGACGATTACCGCCTTTTCCGATAATTAGTTGAATACGAATAGAGCTTCGGCTCCTGAATCATGCTACGTGGGGTGATCTTGTGGAGCGGAAAGGCTTCATGAGGTTCCTGCTAATGTTAATTTCAAATATTGGAAGAGATAAATCCATTGCAGACGACTTTTAAGCAACGGTGTACTGTAAGCTGTAGAGTAGCCTTGTTGCTACGATCGGCTGAGGTTAAGCACTTTTTGTTGCACAGATTTGTTCGAAAGAACAACATCTCTCTTTCCTTCTCTTTCTTTTATTTATTTTTATTTTATTTTTTTTCTTTTTGAAGCCTACTTAAGGGCTGTATAAGAATACATAAAGACAGACTTCGAATCGGATTGTTTATTGCTTCTGTCGCTCTGCCTGCATTTGTGTGTGTTTCCTCGCTTTTATTGCTTTTAAAGCCCTTGTTCTTGACGTTGCCTCGCATTCTCCTTATCCTGCAAAATGGCTTCCACCGTGGCTTGAATTGCAGGCCGTACCTGTTTTTTGTTAATGTCGCGGATAACTCCACATAATCCGCTTGCTAACATTACTAAAATTGTAGAAGCCTCAGCATTGTCAGTCAACTTCAGTTTTTTTTTGTTCGAGGGGATTAATTCCAGGAGTTCCATTATGGCGTTTTTCGTAACAGGTGCTTTTTGACTTTGGTCGGGACTATCAAGCTTTCGAAGTAGCTTTAGTAGTCGCTTTCGCTTGATTGATCTTGTATTCGCAATCTGATGAAATATCGATGCAGCTGCCTTTACCCCCGATATGACCCTGCTGCCTTGGTAATAGTTCTCCAGTCGAAAGATTGTTGTAGGGTAGCATGCCCAGTTTGCAAATAAATAGAACATTGACGCACTCTGAAAGTACGTTGCTTTACAATGGAATTTTGACCTCAGCTGCCTTTCAAGTAAAAGGTTTTGTTGCCAGTCATCCCGGCCCCAAATTGTGGTATATGCTCCAATGTGGGCAGTTGAGTTATTAGCTCCAACGTCAATGGCTCCTGAAACCAATTCAATTGAAGCCGTAATAAGGGCGCTCCATGTGTGAGTTCCAATCACGAGCTTATTGGTGTTGTCGTGGTTAATTGAAGACACTCTCTTCAAATCCAGAGTTGGCTTTAATAGATCGAAGCAATGAGGGTCTTCCTTTGGTTCACGACCATAAACTTCAGCCTTCAAGATGAGGATCGCTTGCAATCCTGTTTGAATTACTGCTCCTGCGAGATTTTTGGCAATATCGAATTTCAAAGCCTCATAGTTTAAAAGAAAGAATGTTGCATCTAATGGCTTGTAACGCTCAATATCAATTAGACGACCATACCGATGCGATGATAAAAGGAACTTGAAGTCTTTTGGCTCCATGGAAGAAGGCTTCTTTGGCTTCTTGATAGGATTGATGGCAATGATCTGATCTTCGGCTGTCCGCTTTGCTCCAATTTGAGTTAATAGAGCTATAGATCGAGCTCCACTTTCATGTTCCAGTGAAAAAGGGACCAGGGTCTCGAGAAAACAGTCGGAAAAAATTGGATTCTTCGTTGCAAGGTCAAGCTCCGCCTTTCCTTGCTTTAGCACCTCAATGTCATCTGAGGCATCGCTTTCTGCCAGCTCGCGAGGCTGTGTATGGGCACCGAAATGGTGGTCCAGTTCCAGTGCCGATTTCAGTGTTTCTCCGCATATGGGACAAACAAATCCCGAATCATTCTTTTTTCCATGTCTATTTGTATGCTTCGTTATGCCATCTCTTGTTTGGATGGGCTTACTGCAAACTGGACAGACGAAACAACCTTGTACACGCATTAAGACAATTGACTCTTTGATCCCTTGTTCATTTACCAGCCACACTTTGCACTTCCTTGAGTGGTATTCACGTATATGCAGCTTTGCTCCTTCTTTGTCTTTAGATACTTCCTGACATTGCGGGCAAGATAATCCTTTATCATTAGGCATTTTTTAGCGCTGGTAAAATGGTGCCAAAGAAAAATAGAATAAGTCAGAGACAGACAGCAAAATAAAGTACAGAACAAAGTTTAGAAAAAAGAACAGACAGCAAAATAAAATACAGAAAAAAGACAGAAAAAAGAACAGACAGCAAAATGAAATACAGAAAAAAAAAAAAAAAAAGAAAAAATGAAATACAGAAAAAAGTAAAAAAAAATACAGAAGCAAAAAAATACAGAAAAAAAATACAGGACAGCAAAATGAAATACAGAAAAAGAAGATACAGACAGCAAAAAAATACAGAGTACCAGGCAAAATAAAATACAGAAAAAAGTACAGAAAAAAATACAGACAGCAAAATAAAATACAGAAAAAAGTACAGAAAAAAATACAGACAGCAAAATAAAATACAGAAAAAATAAAGACAACAAGCCAAAAAAAAAAAATCTTGAACAGAGCGCACGTTTAGAAAAGGGGTGTTACAATAATTCAGTGTTTAGTTTGGGAAGAGGGTTTTTTTTTGGATTGCAAACCCGTTCACTTCAAAAGAGTCATTGGAGAGCAAAGGGTTACAAGAGGGAACATCCTGTGATTTTAGGAGAAATGAGATGCAAGCAATAAAAAAAACGCTGAAAAACAGAAAAGAGAAGAGTAGAAAAAGTCGTGGACTGAGTGCATGTAAAAAAACACTGCAATAGACAGTGATGAACAACAAAAAAAAAAGTACAAACGAAGGTGTGCTCCCTTACATCAAAGCAGCAACGTTTTTTTTTTTTTGTCAGTCCAAAGAGTCGCAACGCGGGAATGTCAGTAAAACAAGAGAACACCAAAAGAAAAAGGAAGGCTTGAGTGTATTGAAAAATGAGAGAATGCTTTCAGTTTGGATAACTAGAAATGAAGTAAAGGTTTTGGGAGAGTTGAGTAAAATGTGAGAAAGTGAAAAGTGGATGATGTGACGAAAGGAAGGAGAGAGGGAAGTAGAAGAGTGTTCTGAAAGAATAGTAAAAGATGCGGGAAGGAAGAGAAGAAGAAAGAGAGTGGGTTTGAGGACAAGGAAGAATAAAAACATCGTGAGAAAAAAGAAAAAAGAGAAAAAGAAATGGCCCTGAAAATGATCTTTGCGAAATGACGTGTATTCAATGTGGATGTTGGTGTGTAGTTGGTGACAGTTGGTGTCTGCCAAAAAAAAAATTTAAAAAGGGGCAGTGAGACATTTTTTTTACACGAACAGAAGGGAGATAAATTAACACTGTTGTCTTTTTTTTTTTTTTTTTGAAGATTGCAAAACCGTTCCGTTCAAAAGAGGGGAGTAAAGGGAGAAACAGAACCAGAACAAGAGGGCGTCCAATGATGTAAAAGAAATGAGATAAAAAAAGTGCTGAAAAAAAGAAAAAGAAAGAGTTGAGTGCACCAGAAGAATGAAAAGATCCTGTTGCAGCGAAGGAAACACTTGTGGCAGAGAGAGGAAGAGAGAAGGTGTCAGCTTTTGCAAGGAGAGGGAAAAAAAGAGAGAGGAGGATGGAGGATATCAGTTGCTGCAGAGAGAGAAAAAAAGGGAGAAGAGGGTGCAGAAAGAGAGGGAAGAGGAACAATGACAAAAAGAAAAGAAAGAAAAGGCCAAAAGCAAATCGAGAGAAAAATAAAATGAATGAATGTGAAATGGCCCCTGAAAATGGGTCTGTTCAGGATCATGTGCTTTTTGTATTCTTGCCTTCTTTTTATTTTTTTATTCTTTCTTTTTTATTTTCAATTTTTTCGCCAATGAAAATAAAAAATTTACTAGTAGCATACCAAATCACAACCACAAAAAGACCCGTATCTCCACCAATACTGGGGCCTATGGCCTGAGACTTTAACCACTGGAAGATATTACTGGATTCTCACAGCTATTAAAATTTGAAGCGATTCCGTCGGCTCAGTGACGAATGACAAGCCAAAGAGTGATGGAACACATTTCATCAACATGTTCTTCACTAGAAATAACAGAGAGTAACTCTACTAAAATAAAAAAAAGATCGTCGACCGTGGACTTTAAACGTCCAAAGCTCCTCCAATAGTCGCACCTCAGACCCGGGACCTGGATCATTCGAAAGAGAATACTCAGGGCTATCGATGGACCAAATTTTGAAAAATCCGACACGACACCCCCCTTTGATGTCCCTAAGTACAAGCTCTTCCTAAGTGCATACCATGGTGGCTAGAACCAACTTCCATGCCTAACATAAGATCCCAAAACTCAATGAAAAAAAAAAAAAAAAAAAAAAAAAAAGAAGAGGTTATCATCAAAACGAAAAAGGAAACACAATCTCTTTTTGTCCAAAAAAAGACAATCGATCTTTTTTTTCGTCCAAAAATGGACGATCGATCTTTTTTTCGTCCAAAAATGGACAGTCAATCTTTTTTTCAGCCAATGAGAACTAAAGATTTTTGTGTAACATAACGAATCACAACCACATAAAAACCCATATCTCCTCCAATACTGGGGCCTGGGGCCTCATCTTTGGATCATTCGAGAGGGAATCAAAAGCTCTCACAGCTACTCAAATTTCAAAAAGATCTACCTAGGACACCATGGAGAAAACCCAGTTAGAGTGCTCAGTCTAGAAGAAATCATCAGAAAAGTTAAAAGTTTCCACAGAAAAAGTTTCCACAGAAATAACTGGCTTGTGGCAGCCAAGCGTTCATAGCGACGTTGCTTTTTGATCCTTCGATGTCGGCTCTTCCTATCATACTGAAGCAGAATTCAGTAAGCGTTGGATTGTTCACCCACTAATAGGGAACGTGAGCTGGGTTTAGACCGTCGTGAGACAGGTTAGTTTTACCCTACTGATGAAATGTTGTTGCAATAGTAATTGAACTTAGTACGAGAGGAACCGTTCATTCGGATAATTGGTATTTGGGCCTGCCTGAACAGGCAATGGCCCGAAGCTATCATCCGTTGGATTATGGCTGAACGCCTCTAAGTCAGAATCCGTGCTAGAACGCGACGATTACCGCCTTTTCCGATTTTTAGTTGAATACGAATAGAGCTTCGGCTCCTGAATCATGCTACGTGGGGTGATCTTGTGGAGCGGAAAGGCTTCATGAGGTTCCTGCTAATGTTAATTTCAAATATTGGAAGAGATAAATCCATTGCAGACGACTTTTATTGAACGGGGTATTGTAAGCTGTAGAGTAGCCTTGTTGCTACGATCAGCTGAGATTAAGCCCATTGTTCTACAGATTTGTTCGAAAGAACAACATCTCTCTTTCCTCTTCTCTTTTAATTTTTTATTTTATTATTGCAACGTTAATTAAGGGGTACATACTTGATATAAATGTTGTGATATGGGATAACATGTCATTTTCCTTAAGCTGATCTCTTGATGAGCATGGCATTTACAACGGCTTCGATATTGGGAACCACCCGATTTTGGTTTTTGGTCTTAATGGTGTCGCACATTGTGTTTGCCAATTTTCTCAACAGATTGGAGACTTCATAGTTCTCGATCACTCTCAACTTTTTATGTCCTGATGGAGTTAATCGCAAAAGTTCCATGATGATGTCTCGAGTCAACGGAGCGTCCTTAATTTTGTCATTTTTGAGGATCTTTTCTAGACTTTTCTTTTTGATTGTTTTTTTTTTGACCGATAAAGCTGGTGGAACAACGTTGCCGAAGCTTTTATCCCTGTCATTGTAGTTTTTTCCGAGAAATGATTAATGACACTGTAAATCGTTATTGGGAGACATGACCACTCGGAAAATAAGTAGAAGACTGAGGCGCTTTTTGTGTTTGATATGGAATTTTGATCTGGTTTGTCTTTCGATCAAGGGATTCAGCTCCCGGTCCTTACGACCAAAAATTATTACTTGTGAGGCAATGTTCGCTGTCAAGTTGTCGGCTCCGACGTGGATGGCTCCTGATGTGAGCTCGATTGATGAAGTTATAAGGGCATTCCAGTGAAGTGTGCCGATGATGAGTTTGTTCGCGTTATCATGATGGATTATGGATACCTTTTTGACATCTAATGTAGGCTTCACTAGGTTAATTCTATGTGGATCTCCGCTCGGTTCCCGCCCATAAACCTCGGCCTTTAGGATGAGGATCACCTGGGATCCGGCTTGGATAAGGGCTCCTGCTAGGTTCTGGGCAATGTTGGACTTGCAATCACTGTAATTTTGCAGATAGAACGCCAGGTCTAGTAGCCTGTAATCTTCCATCTCGATTAGCTTCCCATGTCGATTTGATGCCAAAGTTATTTCCAGATCTTCAAACTCTGTGGGTGCCTGCACTTTTGGTCTTTTGATTCGCTCTATCTCAACGATTGGGCTGGATTCTGTCCTTTTTGCTGAAATGGGAGTAAACAATACCATTGATTTCGTTCCATCTTCGTGTTTGAGCGCGAACGGTTCAAGCATATCCAAAAGGAAGTTTGACAAAATGGTGTTCTTTGTGCAACGATCAAGTTCCAATTTTCCCTGCCTCAGACTTTCAACCCCTGCTTCGTCGTCCTCTGCTGGGCCTTCCAAGACCTCCCAGGATTCCAAATGTGCGTCATCATAGTGCTTGTCTAAATCCTGTGCCGTTACGAACGTCATGTTGCAAATGAAGCATGGGTTGCTTGGGTTATCGGTCTTGACCACATCTGTAATAAGATGGCCATTTGTATGCTGGAGAATTTCTTTCCTGCCTTCAATTCCAGTCTCGTTACAGACTGGACAAGTAAAACAACCATCCACGGATTTCAAAATAACGCGGGTGGTTTCCCCTCCAACAACAATAGAAACAAGGACCTTGCCAGGATGGCGATCTCGTTTGTGATTTCTCAACCGCAATTGACTATCACAAACTTTACCGCAGGATACACATTCAAAATTTGTTGGCTCTGACATTGTGATCTGGTAAAAAATAAATAAATAAATAAATAAATTAAAGCGATGTTAGTGCTTGAAAACAAATGATGAAGCAATGCGAGAAGAAATAAGGATCTTAAAAGTGATTGTAGAGTGAGCGCTGGAAGTCATGTAAGCAATGTAAAAAGTGGAAGTGGTGGAAAAGTGGTGGAAGTGGTGGAAAAGTGGTGGAAGTGGTGGAAGTGGTGGAAAAATGGTGGAAGTGGTGGAAAAGTGGTGGAAGTGGTGGAAGTGGTGGAAAAGAAGTGGTGGAAGTGGTGGAAGTGGTGGAAAAGAAGTGGTGGAAAAATGGCACAGTTTTTTTTTTCCCATGCTTGTCGTAACAACCAGAACATGAAGAAAGGAGGGTTCCAGCACAAGCAAGGCGGGTTTGAGACAAAGGAGAGTTCGAGCACAAAAAAAGAGCACAACAAAAAAAAGAAAGACGGTTCCAGCACAAAAAAAAAAAAGAAAGGCGGGTTCGAGCTCAAAAAAAAAGAAAGGTGGGGGGGACATGGACATGAGCATGAGCATGAGCATGATGCTGGACATGATGGGCATGCCAGAATGATGGACAGAATGATGGACAGAATGGACAAAATGATGGACAGAATGATGGACAGAATGGACAAAATGATGGACAGAATGATGGACAGAATGGACAAAATGATGGACAAGCAAAATAAATCTGTTAAGGGTGGCAAAAGACAAAGTACTTTTGAGCCATTGAAAAAAAAAGGGAACAAACAAGTCAAATGGCAAGGCAGAAAAGAGTGAAAAAAAAAAAAAAAAAATTGGTGTATAGTGGTGAATAATGGGTGTATAGTGGGTGTATAGTGGGTGAATAATGAGCTTTCTCTAAAAAAAAAAAAAAATTAGGGGCGGAACTGTTGAGGTACTTTTGAGCCGCGGAGGGGAACTTTTGAGCCTCTGGTTGGGTACTTTTGAGCCGCGGTGGGGTTCTTTTGAGCCTCAAAAAGCCACTGTGCAGTTTTTTCTTTAAGGGCATGCGACTATCTCTACCCATAAACTGTTTTTACTTTTTTATTTCTTTCCCTTCTACGATTTTTGACCTCTCCCAATTCGTGCGGTCGATGGAACTGTTTTTTTTTTTTTTTTTTTTTTTTTTCTATCAAAACCAACTACTCTCTTCGTGAGTAAGGGCCCTGCAATGAAGAAATGAAGGCAACACCTGTTTCAAAGAGAGGAAAAGTAAAAAAAAAAAAAAAAAAGAGAGCGAAGGTAATACCTGTTGCAGAGAAGGAAACACTTGTGGTAGTAAGAGGAAAGAAGAAAGAAGTCAAATGACAATGCAGAAAATAAAATGTCGGGTGAAAAAAAAATAAAAAAAGAGGGAAAAAGAGAAAAAAAAAAAAGAGAGAAGGTTTAACTTGTTGCAGAGAGAAAAAAAGAGAGAGGAAACAACTATTGAAAAGAGGTGACAACCGCTGCAGAGAGAGACACCTGTGGAAGAGAGGAAAAAAAAAAAAAAAATCTATTTGTCTGCAATTGACAGTGATGGACAAGCCAAAAAAAAATTTAAGCGCAGTGCAATTTTATTAAGGGTGATGACTATTCCTTTGCTCTACCCACTTTTTTTTCTTTATTCATGTCTAAAGAACCTTCACAGAGAGCAAAGAAAAATCGAACCAAAAAGTGCAAGACCAAGTCACAATCCAAAAATAAAAGGCAGAAAAATGGACAAACTAAGAAAAAAACCTCGAGTGAAGAGCTGTTTCCTTACATTAACTCAACAGCGATTTTATTGACAAAGTCCAAAGAGTCGCAACACGAGAGAGCAAAGCAGGGAAATGATTACACCAAAAGAAACTAAGAGCACCGAGAGAAAGAAAAAAAAAGCCGAAGAAAGTGAAAAGTAATAAAATGAAAAAAGAGAAAAGAGGAAGAAGAGAGAGAGGAGCGCGGTGGGAGTGTCCTGAAGAGTGAAAGATGGAAAAAGTAAAGAAGAAAGAGAGGAAGGCATTGAGGACAGGAGGAATAAAGAAAAGATCATGAGAAAAAAAAAGGGTCAATCTGAAATGAATGGGCTGTGAAAATTGATCTATGCGAGCGTAGGAGAGAGAAAAGAAAAAAAAAAAAAAAAAAACAGCTGTTGCACCATTCATTGGGTTGTGGAAAAGGTAACGCCTGTTGCTGTGGGGATAAAAAGAGAGAAAAGGGAAGCAGTTGCTGCAGAGACAAAAAGAAAAGAAAGAATGATGGAACACATGTCATCAACATTTTCTTCACTAGAAAAAAAACACAAGTAGCTCCGTTGACATGAAAAATAACATTTCTTTTACTCTGGACCGTGGACTTTAAACGTCCATTGTTCCTCCAACATTGGGACCTCAGACCTGGGACCTGGATCATTCGAAAGAGGATACCCGGGGCTACCGATGGACCAAATTTCGAAAAATCCGACACCCCCTTTGAAGTCCCTAAGTGCAAGCTCTTTCCAAGTGCATACAATGGCAGCTAGAACCAACTTCTGACGTCCTTTATGGTTCCCAGCTCCATCCTAGCAAAAAGCTAACAAACCTGGTGGCTTTGATGCATTCCATATGGTCAAAAAAAAAAAAAAAAAAAAAAAAAAAAAAGGTAGCCTATCGTCATAGCTCTGCCAAAATCAAAAAAAAATCTTCGACCGTGGACTTTAAACGTACATAGATCCTCAAATACTGGGATCTGAGACCTGTGGCCTGGATCATTCGAAAGAGGATACCCAGGGCTACCGATCAGCCAAACTTCGAAAAATCGGACACGACACCCTCCTTTGATGTCCCTAAGTGCAAGCTCTATCCAAGTGCATACCATGGTGGCTAGAACCAGTTTCCAGCTACATCCGTGCCTAACATAAGACCCCAAAACTCATTCGTAAGTTCACCAAAGCTGTGTTCATGTCGTCACCGGATGTGCGCAAGTGTAAACATGCCATGACTTCCATCTCTTTCCTCCCTGTCTCGCATGTTTTATAAGTAGAACAGGGGAACTGATATACGCTATTGCTGATTAAAGAACTTTTTTTTTTATTAGCACCTACGATCCGTTTATTTCCGAAACTATACTTGCTGCCACTAAACGATTTTTGTCTGAAATCATGGGAGAGAAAATCTGAGCCAATTTCATAAGAAGGTCTTCAGCGTCTTTGTTTCCAGAAATGGTTATCCGATGGCCATTGGTGAAGAGTCCCCTGAGACTTCGTATCACTTCTGCAGATTTGGTGTTGTCGCTATCCTCTGGCACGTCTACGTCTCTAATATGGAGAACGATTTTGGCCTTATTCCTTTCTCTCGCTCGAATTGCGAGCTGTCTAAATACATTGCAGTTTGGGACACCTCTCTGTGACAACGTGAAGATAGACACGGGCATCAAAGAGGGTGCTCCGAAGCCTTGCAACGCCCCGCGACGGGATGAATAGGTGGTTAAATGCCCAAATCCACTTCTTATTTGGGCTAGACCAAGTACATCACCTTGGAGCATGTACGCATCCTGTAGTTGTCTCTTAACGTTCATCTTCGTTGTGTGATTAACTGGAAAATCTGCGCAGCGTTTGGGCCCGACAAGTGCCTCCCTACCACAGAGACTAGAAGTAACCAGATAGTTATATCCTCTTACGCCGATCACTAGCTTCCTATTGCTGAACAGATCTGGGACTTGCACAATTTTAAGTCTCCCTTCGTATTGTGTGGCAGGGCTGATTGTTGGCAAGCTTGTCGGGCGTATTTTCGTCGACTCTGCATGCGGATCTTCGACTGGATCCCGGTTGTAAACTTCCGCGCATAGAATCCGTAGCCGACGTGGCCCTGTTTCTAGTATCGCCCCAAGAACTCGCTCCAATCCTATCATGCCACCAATTTCGATTGAAGGAAGAGTATCTTCTGAAACGGGTACATGGGTTACCTCCAGATCAATGTCGACGGGATTTGGCTGGTCTATTCCGTTGGAGTCATCGGAAATCTGGAGAATTTCATATTCTCGAGGAAGTAGCTCTTGGAGAAATTCGGCTGTTTCTGGAGGCAAAATTGCTCCGTAGCTATTCTCACTGTCTCCACGGTGACAAATTTTAAAAGCATTTGCTGACATCGACTCCATTGCGGATTTAAACATTTTTGGAGGGATATCGCCTCGAAGTCTTTTAATAATTTCATCGTTTGTCCTTGACGCAGGAAATGGAGCGGGATTAAGTTTTCTCTTTCCATTCGCAATTACTGGTATCACATAATTCTCTTCTGTATCCACAGGATCCTCGTCGTTTGGGTTGTCTCCATCACTTCCATATCCAGGATCCAAGTGCGTTCTGATGTAGTGGCGCTTTGCATAGTTTCTCGCAAATACACCCTCACAGCACGGGCAGAAAACTCTAGGACTGAGACTGTTATCATTTGGTGCTACTTTGAATGTTACAGTTTTGTTTCCAATAATTACTCGTAGCGACATTGAAATCTACTCAGCAACATAGGAAAAACAGTTCGAGGCGCCGTTAGTCTTTGAAGTAGTTTATAAATTTTACACAAAAATATCTGCCACCATGTATGCGAGTGCCACTGTCTAAAACGAAAGTAAAAGTATGAGAATGTCACCGTTCGAAAAAAAAAGTGAGGGAATGTCACCGCTCGAAAATAAAGAGTAAGGGAATGTCACCGCTCGAAAATAAAAAGTGAGGGGATGTCACCGTTCGAAAAAAAAAGTGAGGGAATGTCATCGTTCGAAAATAAAAAGTGAGGGAATATCACCGCTCGAAAATAAAGAGTAAGGGAATGTCACCGCTCGAAAATAAAAAGTGAGGGAATGTCACCGCTCGAAAATAAAAGGTGAGGGGATGTCACCGTTCGAAAATAAAAAGTGAGGGAATGTCATCGTTCGAAAATAAAAAGTGAGGGGATGTCACCGTTCGAAAATGAAAAGTGAGGGGATGTCACCGTTCGAAAAAAAAAGTGAGGGGATGTCACCGCTCGAAAATGAAAAGTGAGGGAATGCCACAAAAAAAAAAGAAGCACAGAGAGGTGGGGACAGGTTCTACAGAACAGAAAAAAGGAATGCAGAGGGGTGGGGACAGGTTCTAGAGAAAAGAAAAAAGGTCCGGACAGAAATGTCAAGTGTAGAAAATTTAGCGTAGACAGCATAGCAGGTGATTCCTCAAGGATTTGCCAGAAGCGAAATTCCTTTGACAACTACCACACTGGTATGGTTTCTGAATTTCAGACACGCCTTGATTAGAAGTATAAATTGAACAAAAGAAATGTCAATGACGATGGGTGTGAAGTAAAGGAACAAGAAAAAAAAATAGAGTGGTGTATTGTTGAAAAAGAAAAAAAAAAAATAAAAGGTACATGTGCACCACTCGAAAGATGAATGAAATGGGTTGTTCGCAAGTGGGTTATTTGGAACCAACTGTCGATGGACAATGGACAAAACCTGTCGAAGGAAAACAGTGGGACTTTGAGCCTGCTGTCCAGGGACAAAAAACGGTTGCGGAACTTATGAGCCAATTGTCGACGGGCTAAATAAATAATTTGCGCTTTTGACTGCAGAGGGAAATAAAAAAATAAAAAATAAAAAATAAAGTCCTTTTGAGCCAACTGTCGAGAGGCAAAAAAAAAAAATTAGAACTTTTGTACTTTTGCGTCAAAAAGAAGGAATCTGGCGCAGTTTTTTCCCAGGCTCGTCCACCAACATGCAAGAAAGAACATGCCGAGGTAAGAATGAAGAAATAAAGAGGTCTCGGGGCGAAAAAGAGTGCAGGGTATGGAATATATGGAAGGGAAGTGGACAAAACAAAAGGATATCTCGAATGCTT